ACACACGGCGTACTGATACTTGGAAATTACTACACCGCCTTAAGTCTCAAAGTACAAAACCATTGGTGGTAGGGGGTGACTTCAACGAAATCCTTGACAACTCTGAGAAGATGGGGGGTCCCAAACGTGTTCCGGCCCATATTGCAACTTTTCGAACGGCTCTTGACGATTCTGAGCTAGGGGTGGTAAACGAGCCGAGCCGACTCGTGAGCTCGACGAGTCGGCTCGTAAAAAGCTCAAACTCGGACTCGAGGTTTTCGAGCTCGAGCTCGAGCTTTCTGACGAGCCGAGCTCGAGCCGGTTTTTAGTTGTTCATGAGCTCGCGAGCCGGCTCGCGAGCCTTATTTATTATTATTTTTTTATTTTTTATATTTTTTATATGTTATTTTTATTTAAATAATGTATAATAATATAAAATACTATAGAAATAAATACAAATATTAAAAATATATATAATTACAATTTAGTTTTTATTTTTTATTTTTTTTTAATAATTTTTAATAATAAAATAATAATTAAAAAAAAAAAAAAAAGACAATGGGCTCGAGCTCGAGCTCGAAAAAATTTACACGAGCTCGAGCTCGAGCCAAAAAAAAAAAGGAACTCGAGCCAAAAGAGGCGAGCTCGACTCGTTCACACCCCTAGTCTGAGCTATCAGATTTGGGGTATACTGGTCAACGCTTCACATGGACTAATACAAAAGAGTCTCCGAATACGGTTCGATGCAGACTAGACAGATTTTGCGGCAACGGTGAGTGGTGCTCTATTTTTCCTGACGCTCGGGTCCACCATATGGAAGTCGCAGGCTCCGATCATCTCCCGCTGCTCCTCACTCTAGACAAAGGGGATAAACGGTTTAAATTTTCCGGCTGCAAACCATTTAGATTCGAAGCCATGTGGGCTCGTAGAGAGGAGTGCGAGGAGATAGTTAAACAACATTGGGAGGGAAGTTCAGGCTCTGACCCTTTTGAGGCTTTAATGAGAAGCACAGATGGATGTCGGCTTGCTCTAAAAAATTGGAACCAATCTACTCTCACTCATCCGCGAAAGAAGATTGAGAAACTCCGTAAAGATCTCCACATGTTGGGTTCAGAAACACAGACGGCGGAAGTTGTTGCTAGGCAGAGAAAGTTAAATGCGGAGCTAGAACATACATATGGGGATGTGGACCTGTACTGGCGGCAACGTAGCAGAATCCAGTGGTTACAAGAGGGGGACCGTAACAATTAGTTTTTCCATGCCAAAGCTACAATAAGACAGAAGAAGAACTGGGTGCATAAGATCAGAGATAGGGAGGGGGTTTGGAAAGATGGTAAATCAGACATAGAGAAAGTTATCAATAGCTATTTTGAGGAATTGTTCCAGTCTACTCATCCGGAAGAGAGAGAGATTGATGAGGTGTTGGCACATATTGAGGCAAGGATCACGGGCGAGATAACTAAATGCAGTCTACTCCATTTTCTTCTGAGGAGGTAATCCGAGCCATCTCTCAGATGTCCCCTTCTAAATCCCCAAGCCCTGATGGCCTTCCCGTTCTTTTATACACCAAGTACTGGCACATTCTAGGTTCTTCGATAGTAGATTGTGTCCTTGAATTTCTGAATAAAAGAATTTTGCCCCATTCCCTTAATTTTACTTTTATTGTCTTGATTCCTAAAGTCCCTAAACCTGAGAGAATGACCCAGTATCGCCCGATTAGTTTATGTAATGTTATTTATAAATTCGGCTCTAAGCCCATTGCTAACCGAATCAAACAGGTGTTGAGCGATATCATTTCCCCTACCTAGTCAGCTTTTGTCCCTCACAGTTTAATAACGGACAATGTTTTAGTTGCCTACAAAATGAATCATTTTTTTAATACCAACTCTAGGAAACGGTCTCATTTTATGGCAATGAAATTGGACATTAGTGAAGTGTAAGATCGAATAGAATGGTTATGCTACGAAAATGTTTTAGTAGACTTGGCTTCCCACAGATTATGGTGGATTTGATTATGATTTGTGTATCTTCGGTATCTCACTCTTTCTTGTTTAATGGTTCTCAGTGTGGATTTCTTGCCCCTTCGCGAGGACTTCGGCAAGGGGACCCTTTGTCCCCCTACCTATTCATTATTTGTACCGAAGCTTTGATAGCTATGATTCACCGAGCGACGGAAATTGGGAGTCTCCAGGGTATTCGGGTTGCTCCCACAGCACCAATCGTTTCGAGACTCTGCTTCGCCGATGATACCGTCATCTTCTGCCAAGCCACCGTGGAAAATGCTCAATCCCTAAAACACATACTCAGCTAATATGCAACGGTATTGGGGCAGGTAGTTAATTTGGAAAAGTCGACCATGACCTTCTGCCCCTCTACGACAACGGCTGTCAAGAACTCAATCCACTCAACTAATCAACTCAACTCTAGGATTTCAAGATGTTGAGAAGCAGGAAAAATACCTAGGCATGCCAAGCTCAATTGGACGAACACGCAAGGAAATTTTTGCCTATATCCGGGGTCGTATTTGGGCACGTATTAGGGGGTGGCATGCGAAGAAATTATCGAAAGAGGGTAAGGAGATATTAATCAAGGCAGTTCTTCAGGCCATTCTTACCTATGTGATGTCATGTTTTCTTCTGCTTGTCGGGTTACTACACGAGATTGAATCTGCGATTCAGCGGTTTTGGTGGGTTAGTGGGGAAGCACACCCGATGGCTTGGATCGTGTGGAGAAGATTATGTAAACCAAAAGTTGTGGGTGGTTTAGGATTTCGAGATCTGAGGGCGTTTAATCTCGCTCTGCTTACAAAACAAGCATGGAGAGTCGTCACTCAACTGGACCTCTTATTATCGAAGATTTTGAAAGCTTGATACTTCCCTAGAGAACACTTTTGGTCGGCCTCGGTTGGACAACGGCCATCGAATACGTGGCGCAACATCCTTACAGCTCGAGCTCACCTTGTAGAAGGAATTCGCATTCGGATTGGAGACGGCCATGCTACATCGCTTTGGAGCGACCCCTGGATCATTCACGATGGTTGCTCGAGGATTTAAACTACTCGGCCTAAGCACCGCATTTTGTCAGTTCCTATTGGAGGCCCGTTTACTAAGGATCGGATGATATGGAGTT